TTTTCCATAGCAGCTACACCACTTTACTTTCTCACTAACATTACACAAGGGGTCCAATTTCCCCATGTCCTCACCAACGCTTGTCATTTTCTGGTTTTGCTTTTTATTTGTTGTTGTTGTTGTTTTTTTTTTTTTTTTTTTTGATCCTCACCCAAGGATATTTTCCCACTGATTTTCAGGGAGAGTAGAAGAGAGAGGGAAAAACAGAGAGAAACATCTGTGTGAGAGAAACACAGCAATTGGTTGCCTCCTGCATGAGCCCTGAGCAGGGCCTAGCCCAGGGAGACACCTGCAACCAAGGAACATGCCCCTGACCAGAATCAAACCCAGGACCCTTTGGTCTGCAGGCTGATGCTCTCTATCCACTGAATCAAATTGGCCAGGGCTGGTTTTGCTTTTTTATTTTTATTTTTTGTATAGAAGCCATGCTAATGGATGTGAGTGCTAGGATCGTTTTGAGATTCAAACAACCATGAGCTTTTTATTCCAGGCTTTTGATTTCTTTGGCTGAAGCATTCTCTCAAAAATTTAGCCTGGGCCAGTGTGGCTCAGTGTTTAGACTGTTGGCCTGAGGACCAAAGAGTCACAGGTTCCATTCCTGGTCAAGGGCACGTAAGTACCTGGGTTGCAGGTTTGATCCCCAGTCAAGGCACAGGTGGGAGGCAACCAATCAATGTGGATCTCTCATATTGATGTTTCTCCCCCCTACCCCCCACTTTCTTCTACTCTCTCTAAATAATCCTAGACTGGGGGAGGACATAGGCTGGGCTGAGGGAGCCCTCACCTGATTGCACAAATTTCGTGCACCAGGTCTCTAGTAATAATAATAATAATCTAATCATTTTACTCATTTGACTCTAGTCAGTTTCACGTACTAAAACCACACCCACAATGTTTCAATACATAGTGCTTAGGTTTGCTTTATTATTTTTTAAAATATATTTTTATTAATAAAAACATATATTCATTGATTTCAAAGAGGAAGGGAGAGGGAGAGAGAATCATCAATGATGAGCCCTAACTGGTTTGGCTCAGTGGATAGAGCATCGGCCTGCAGACTGAAGGATCCCAGGTTTGATTCCAGTCAAGGGCATGTACCTTGGTTGCGGGCACATCCCCAGTAGGAGGTGTGCAGGAGGCAGCTAATAGATGTTTCTCTCTCATCGATGTTTCTAACTCTCTATTCCTCTCCCTTCCTCTCCATAAAAAATCAATAAAATATATATATTTTTAAAAAACATCAATAATGAATAAGAATCATTGATCAGCTGCCCTCTACACACCCCTTACTGGGGATTGAGCCCACAACCCAGGCATGTGCCCTAAATGGAAATCTAACAGTGACCTCCTGGTTCAAGGGTAAATGTTCAACCACTGAGTCACACTATCCAGGCAGGTATGGCATGTTTTAAAAATTCTTGCAACACACTAGTTGAAAATCACTGCCTTGCCGAAACCGGTATGGCTCAGTGGTAGAGCGTTGATCTGCGGACTGAAGGATCCAAGGTTTGATTCCGGTCAGGGGCATGTACATTGATTGCGGGCACATCCCCGATGAGGGGGTGGTGCAGGAGGCAGCTGGTCAATGTTTCTCTCTCATCGACATTTCTAGCTCTCTATCCCTCTCTCCTCCTCTCTGTAAAAAATCAATAAAATATATTTAAATAGAAAATCGCTGCCTTACCTTATCTTTGCCTTGGAACATTTTAATGAATTAATAGATTTTACTGTGTCCAGCACCTTTTAAAAGCTCATTTCTTTCGATTTGGGCTCTGGAGGCATTAGGCTTTTCCACTTCTGCGAGGACCTAAACTCCTTATGATGCCCTGAAAGATCTCATGCGGCCTGCCTCTTCACTCAAGGCCTATCTATCATTTTGAGCTCCAGGATCTCTCTCTCTCTCACACACGCACACAAACACACACAGCTAAATGAGTAAATAACACCTATGAAGCACTCAGACAAGCCTTTGCATAGGATGGGGCAAAGCAGGTTTTCAGTTGTGAGTACACAAAACAGAGTTAATTCTTATACTATTATTAATTAATTATTGTATTATTTTTTAAATATGAACAACTTTAAACCTACTTTTGCCCCATCCTATAGATTTGATATTTTTTAAAAAATATATTTTATTGATTTTGTACAGAGAGGAAGGGAGAGAGTTAGAGAGTTAGAAACATCGATGAGAGAGAGTCATCGATCAACTGCCTCTTGCACACCCCCTACTGGGGATATGCCCGCAACCAAGGTACATGCCCTTGACCGGAATCGAACCCAGGACCTTTCAGTCCCCAAGCCGACGCTCTATCCATTGAGCCAAACCGGTTTTGGCAGATTTGCTATTCTTGTTAGTCTGTGTTCAGAAAATATTTACTGAGCTGCCTACTCAGTGCCAAGCAGTATGTGAGGCTCAGGATAGGACAGTGAGCGGAGGAGATGTGCAGGGCTCACTTCTCTCTGCGCCCAGAGAGTGGGGGCCGGGGGGGGGGGGGCTCCGGTGGAAGATGAGTGTTTGTGTAGGGTGGGTGAGGGCTCCCAGAGGGGATGCGCCCGGGAGAGGGACTGAGGGGACAGGGAAGAGGTGAAGGCCCAGGGAGGACAAGGGTTCAGGGAGAGGGAGAGATTGGAGGTCGGTGAGGAGTTTGTGGGGCTGTGTGGGGGGTGTGGTCCAGGATGTGGTGGGGTCTCTGCGCGAGGGCCTGGAGTCTCAGAGAAGGGAACCCTGGAAGGGGTCAGGGGCTGTTGATCAGGAAGGGGTCCGCCATCTGCAGAGCTGGCCTTGAGGGGGGGGCCTCCCACCCCAGCATCACCCCCACCTCCGGCATCACCCCCACCTCCGGCATCACCCCCACCTCCCAACATCACCCCCCCTCCCATATCACCCCCCCTACCATATCACCCCCCCTACCACATCACCGCCCCCTCCCAGCATCACCCCCACTCCCACATCACCCCCCCTCCCAGCGTCACCCCCCTCCCAGCATCACCCCCCCTACCACATCACCACCCCCTCCCAGCATCACCCCCACTCCCACATCACCACCCTTCCCAGCATCACCCCCACCTCCAGCATCACCCCCACTCCCACACCACCCCCCTCCCAGCATCACCCCCCTCCCAGCATCACCCCCTCTCCCACATCACCCCCGCTCCCAGTATCACCCCCCCTCCCACACCCCCCCCCTCCCAGCATCACCCCCCTCCCAGCATCACCCCCTCTCCCACATCACCCCCGCTCCCAGTATCACCCCCCCTCCCACATCACCCCCCCTCCCAGCATCACCCCCCTCCCAGCATCACCCCCCTCCCAGCATCACCCCCACCTCCAGCATCACCCCCCTCCCAGCATCACTCCCCTCCCAGCATCACCCCCCCTCCCAGCAGCACCCCCCCTCCCAGTATTACCATCCCCCCTCCCAGCATCACCCCCACCTCCGACTGCGGCGCAGGCGCGATCAAAGCTGCTTTGGCTTAGCTCGCGCTGGGACTCGGCTTGGCCGGCTGGAGGCAGGCAGAGGTGAGCGCAGCCCTGCTCCGCGCGGCCCGCCCCCCCCTCCCCGGGGGTCCGGAGGGCCTCACCCCTGCCGCACCCCCAGCTCCGGGGTGCCCAGCCCCGGGTGCCTCGGCCTTTGGTGGGGGGTGGGGGGACTCGGGAAAGCAACCGGGCAGTGACCGCTCCAGCTCCCGCGCCCGAGATCCTCTGGACGGAGGCTTCCAGGACTCGGCCCGCACACCCGCCCCTGAAATCCCGTCGCCCTCCCGCCGGACTGTCTACCTCCGGGGAGAGGAGGCGTGAGTCTCCGCCCGGGGCTGGGTGGGCGGCCAGAAACCCTGGCGCTGTGGGCCCGGAGCCGGCCTCATTTCTCTGACTCGCTCCAGGGGGGCGCCCCCTCTCGGCTTCGCGGATGCCGGAGTGGGCGGGCCTGGGCGCAAAGAAGAGAGACTCCATCCATCCACCCACCCATCCATCTATCCATCCATCCATCCATCCATCCATCCATCCATCCACTCATCCATCTATCCATCCATCCATCCATCCATCCATCCATCCATCCATCCATCCATCCATCCACTCACCCATCCATCCATCCATCCATCCCATCCATCCATCCATCCATCCATCCATCCATCTCTCCCGGCCCTCGCGCACTCGCCTTCCCCCCAAACGCCTACTCCGCCGCAGTCTCCCCCCCTCGCACCCTGGAGCCCCCTCTTCTTCCTGATCCCTTACCTAAGCTCCTGCCCCCTCCCCAGAGGTTTCTATGGCAACCCTGGTCCCGGGTACACGCGGTGTCCTCCGCATCCTTTCCCTCCCCCCTCCCGGCCCCCAGGCCGCCAGACCGCCTCCCAGCTACCCAAGCACAGGAGGGGAGGGGAAGCTGGCGGGAGGCGGCGTCAAGGTCACCTTCCTCCTCCTGGGCCAGCAGGATCCGGTGATCAAGTGTATTGTGGGGAGGAGGACCGTTAGCCTCAGGGGAGGAGCTAACCCGGGCCCAGCATCCCTGAACCCTCCTCCTGCCCTCTCCCTGCGGGTCCTCAGTTCATGGTCGCTGCTGCACTAACTCGTCCTGTCCCGCGGATCCCATTCATTCTCCCTCCCCAGCTACCGGGCTCCTCGGCCAGCAGCGGTCCTGCAGTGGCCACGCCTCCAGATCTCTCGCCCTCTTTCTCAGCTTTTAGTCTCTGCCTTTCTCCATTCTCTGTCTATTTCTGCCCACCCTCCTCTTTTTCGCCTGAATTGTGGGTAAGGGCTGTGAAGAGCTGCATTTCATAGACAGGGTTTACCCACAGCACCCCTGGGACTGGTATGGATCCGTGAGGACTCCAAGAAACACCCCAACACACACTGTGGCTGTCTATACGTGTGTCTCTGTCCGTTTGTGTGTGTTTGTATGCTTTTGTGTGTTTCTTTGTGCTGTGTGTGTGTTGATCTGCATGTGTCTCTGTGTGGCATGCTGTGTGTGCCTGTCTGGGTGTCTCTGTGGAGTTTGTGTGTGTGTTGGTGTGTGTCTGTGGTGTGTGTGTGTGTGTGTGTGTGTTGGTGTGTGTCTGTGGTGTGGGTGTGTGTGTGTTGGTGTGTCTCTGTGGTGTGGGTGTGTCTGTGTTGGTGTGTCTCCGTGGTGTGTGTGTGTGTTGGTGTGTCTCCGTGGTGTGTGTGTGTGTGTTGGTGTGTCTCTGTGGTGTGTGTGTGTGTGTTGGTGTGTCTCCGTGGTGTGTGTGTGTGTGTTGGTGTGTCTCTGTGGTGTGGGTGTGTCTGTGTTGGTGTGTCTCCGTGGTGTGTGTGTGTCTGTGTTGGTGTGTCTCTGTGGTGTGTGTGTTGGTGTGTCTCCGTGGTGTGTGTGTGTGTGTTGGTGTGTCTCTGTGGTGTGTGTGTGTGTGTTGGTGTGTCTCCGTGGTGTGTGTGTGTGTGTTGGTGTGTCTCCGTGGTGGGTGTGTGTGTGTTGGTGTGTGTCTCTGTGGTGTGGGTGTGTCTGTGTTGGTGTGTCTCTGTGGTGTGGGTGTGTCTGTGTTGGTGTGTCTCCGTGGTGTGTGTGTGTGTTGGTGTGTCTCTGTGGTGTGTGTGTGTGTGTTGGTGTGTCTCTGTGGTGTGTGTGTGTGTGTGTGTTGGTGTGTGTCTGTGGTGTGTGTGTGTGTGTGTGTGTGTTGGTGTGTGTCTGTGGTGTGTGTGTGTCTGTGTTGGTGTGTCTCTGTGGTGTGGGCGTATCTGTGTTGGTGTGTCTCCGTGGTGTATGTGTGTCTGTGTTGGTGTGTCTCCGTGGTGTGTGTGTGTGTTGGTGTGTCTCCGTGGTGTGTGTGTGTCTGTGTTGGTGTGTCTCTGTGGTGTGTGTGTGTGTTGGTGTGTCTCCGTGGTGTGTGTGTGTGTGTTGGTGTGTCTCTGTGGTGTGGGTGTGTCTGTGTTGGTGTGTCTCCGTGGTGTGTGGGAATGTGCAGGGATTTGAGGGCCACACCAGACTGGGAACGAGAGAGGCTGGAAATTTGTCTTCCCCGTCAGGGTAAGCTCATTGCTTTGTTCTGCCTGAAGCTGCTCCGAGGGGCTGAGGGCCAGCCTTGGAGGTGGGAGGGCAGGGACGCCGGCCTCCGCAGCTCTGCCCCCACCTCCGACTTTGGTGCTAGCTCTGCCTGTGCGAATGAGTACCTCTCACTCTGAGACCTCAGTGTCCCCACTTGTGAGAAGAGGGGGCTTACACAGGACTCCAGAACTCTAACAGCTGCTGAACGTAACAGCCCCTGATCCCAAAGGCCCCAGACTTTCACCGCCTGTAGAGTCAAGATTCCTCGGGACTTGGAGGTTGTTGCCTTCTGAGGGGCAGCCCTGGGGAGGGGTCTTTTAGGGCCTGAGAGTTTGTGGAGCTCTGACTGCAGCCAGGACAGTTACCCCCAAGAGAACCCTACAAGGGGGGCGATTTTGAGAGAAGATGGGGATGAGGACCTCTCACTCCAGATATGGAGCGCAAAAAGTTCTGGGCAAAAAAATAATAATTTAAAAAATTACAGTGATAATAAGCACAACAGCTACCAGAAGACACAAGAATTGCACACAGCAGGTGTAGCCATTAGCCCTGTCTTACAGGCGAGGAAACGTAGGCTTAGAAAAGTGCAAGCAGCTTGTCTGCGGTCACACAGCCAGGAAGTGCTGGGTCAGGGATTCCAGCCCAGACAGTGAGGCTCCAGAACCCACAGCCCCAGAGCAAACGCACACCTTATTTTTTATTTTATTTTATTTTTCAATGTATTGATTTTACACAGAGGGGAACTGAGAGGGACAGAGAGTTAGAAACATCGATGAGAAAGAAATATCGACCAGCCGCCTCCTGCACCCCCCCTCCCCCCACCGGGGACATGTCCACAACCAAGGTACATGCCCTTGACCGGAATCGAACCCGGGACCCCTCAGTCCGCAGGCCGACGCTCTATCCACTGAGCCAGACCGGTCCCGGCTGAACGCACACCTTTATCGGCACCTCCGATTGCCAGGCTCCGGGCTAACCCCGCCAGTGCACTGGCTCATGCACGGGTCACCAGGGAAACCCAGGCCAGGGTTCCAGAAGGCCAGGGTGGGGTATCTGTGAGTGTGGGTGGTCCTCAAGGGGAGGAGTGGGTGGGACACAAAGATGCAGGAGCCTGGGAGGGTCACCGCAGCAGCTCTCGCCGGTCCCTCCCTCTGTCCCTGAGCCCTGCCTATCCTACAGGACGCCAGGATGCCGAGCCGTGGCCGTCCCTGTGGCTGCGGCCCAGGCCCCAGCGTGGAAGGCGGCAGGTGGTATGGGGTCCGCTCCTACTTGCACCTCTTCTCCGAGGACTGTGCAGGGGCCGCCCTCAGAGACGACCCCGGGGGGCCTTCTATTCTGTGTCCCCGTCGACTCTGGCCCTCAGTGTGCTGGAAGGTAAGGCCGGAGGAGGAGCAACTCTGGTGATTTCCTGTGGCTTCCGGGGAAAGAGGAACTCAGCGGATAGGAAGAAAAGGGGTGGCGGAGCAGCTAAAGGTCTTGCATGGTCAAGCCATAGAAAGCCCAGCTCAGATGGGTTTGATCTATAAGGGGAAAATGCTGCTTATGTTCTAGAAGAAATCAGAGGTTGTGCGCCTTCAGGCAAAGTTCGATCCAGCAGTCCAAACCATCACACCGAGGGACTCAAGATTTCTCTTAGTCTTCAGGCTTCCATGGCACCCCCCACCCCAGCTTCAGGTTCTGCCCACATGCTCCCCAACGGCTGCTACTGTGCTGCCCTTCAATCTTCTGCTCCACACCACCCAAGGGAAATCAGAATTTCCACTGGTATTTCCTCCAGAAAAGAAACAATGCTTTTTAAAAAAATATATATTTCACTGTGGTGGTTGTTTTTTTTACAGAGAGGAAGGGAGAAGGATAGAGAGTTAGAAACATCGATGAGAGAGAATCATTGATCAGCTGCCTCCCGCACACTCCCCACTGGGGATGTGCCCGCAACCAAGGCACGTGCCCTTGACTGGAATCGAACCTGGGACCCTTGAGTCTGCAGGCTGACGCTCTATCCACCGAGCCGAACCGGTCAGGGCAGAAATAATGCTTTTTATTTCTAGAAGTCCTGGCGAGTATTGCATTGGCTCAGACCGGGTCACTCGCCCAGGTCTGAACTAATTACTGCAGCCAGGGGGATCGTTCATACTGACTGGCAGGGATGGGGTCCATCCCTCTGAAATATTACTGTGCTTCCCAGCGATGTAGTGGGAATACTGTTTCCAGGGCAGTGGAAGATGTGAGAGAAACAGTTGATATCCATATCAGCCAGGTAGGTGGTCAGTCAGGGCGCCCTGTGTGGGTAATGGTATGGAGGTGGCAGTGAGCAGAGTCCTGAGTGTGGGCATAGCTCTTTGATCAGCACTATAGGAAGGCCGAGGCAGAGAGTCCCTCCCCTCTGCTTTTAAAAGGCTTTACTCTAGCGGGGAGGAGAGGGGCCAGTCTGCACCCAGGGAATCACAGCCTCAGGGCAGGGGTGCAGAAGACGTGCTCTCAGCACCTGTGGTGACCAAGGAAGATTTCCAGGAAAGTCAGTCCCTTTTTACATTTTTTAAAGCATCTTCTAGTTGCCGGGCAGTGTGCTAGGCTCTTGGGGACACAGAACTGAAGAAGACGTGGTTCCTGTCCTCCAGGAGCTCCTAACTGTGGTTCATTTAGTTATTCTGCCAATATTCACTCGGCTACCACTCTATACCAGCGCTGTGCTTGGCATGGAAGACACCTCGGGAGCCAAAACGGACACAGTCTGCTCTTGTGGCTCTCATAGCTCTCAGGGGGATGGGGCAGGCCGGCACCACTTACATGGTAACCGAAGCACATATCCAGGTGTGCCCCGAGGTGAGATCACTGGAGAGTGAATGGGCAGAGCGTTTGCAGAGGGTAGAGTTAGGTGACTTGACCCAGTTCAGAGGTGTCCTGGAAGGCTTCCCGGCGGAGGTGAGGTTTGAGATGATATCTGAGGGATGTGTAGGAGCTAACCAGCCAGAGAGATAGAGATAGAGGGTAGATGGGGATAAGACCCAAGGAATGATGGAGGGGGACTCAGGTTGGCAAGGGAAACCCACTGCCAGGTGGGAGCTGGGAAGGAAGCGAATCCAGAGGTCTCAAGGTTCCAAACAGAACGTGACAGTGTTAGGTCCTAGCGGGTGTGCTCTGTGACTCCCATCTCTTAAGGTTGGGTTAAGGGGTTACCTTTACATCCAGTTGGGATCCATCGCACACTAGGGATCCCTTAGCCTAGGGCCCCGGCGGAAGGACGGACGCTGACTGCCTCCCGATCTGTCTGCCTCTCTCCAGTTCTGCCTGTTCCTGGGGATCCTGCTTCTGATCATGGGCGTGGCGGCCCTGGCCACTGGCTATACCGTGGCCCCCAAGCTGGAGGGCTTCGGAGAGGGCGAGCTCCAGGTGCTGGACCAGTGGGCGGCGGACTACAACCGGGCTCTGGGCACCTGCCGCCTGGCGGGCACGGTACTCTGCACGGCAGCCGCGCTCCTGCTGGCCATCTGCCTGTTCTCGGCCATGACCGGCTGGCTGAGCCAGCACACCGAGGCGGAGCCTTTGGAGACCGAGGCAGACAGCCATGCGGAGGTGTCCGTGGACGAGTCAGAGCAGCAGCAGCTCTCCCCCATCTTCTGTGATGCCGACGGCCACCCTTGGTTCTCGCCGCCCACCAGGGCCTTCAGGCAGCCCTCCGTACAGGCCACCCAGCCCAAGTGGAGCTCTTGAGCTGCCCACGGGGCTGGAGGAGGCGCCAGACCCAGAGACCGGACCCCTCCTCCTCTTCACCACACCCCACCGTCTCCTGAACATCTCCCTGTGAGCAGGGACGGACCCTCTGTCTAAGCCTCCAAAAGGCTCGGCTCCGGCTCAGCAAGTCGGGAGCTCCCGTTCTCATGCCCATTCCCAGGGGGCAGGGCCCAACTCGCCCAAGATGCCAGCCTTCTACTCAGAACTCCCACCACCACTCCTTCCCTCCAAAGCATCTCCCTCCACCTGTCCCACCCTCTTCTCTCTGTGGCCACGCCCCTTGCCTGTTCAGACCACCCGTTCCTGCCTCTGAAGGAAAGGGAGTTTGGGCCAGATTCTCGAGTTCCACGATTTCCCTATTCTCCCGGTATGTAAGCATTACCCTCTCTAGGCAAAAGTGGGTGTCATTCTCACCCACTGACCCCGCCTCTCTCAGCTGCACCGGTGCCTCAGGATGAGTCAAAGATGCTCGTTGGAGCTGAAACCGGTTTGGCTCAGTGGATAGAGCGTCGGTCTGCGGACTGAAAGGTCCCAGGTTCGATTCTGGTTCAGGGCATGTACGTTGGTTGTAGGCACATCCCCAGCAGGAGGTGTGCAGGAGGCAGCTGGTTGATGTTTCTCTCTCATCGACATGTCTAGCTCTCTATCCCTCTTCCTTCCTCTCTATGGAAAATGAATAAAATATATTTAAAAAAAAAACTTAAAAAAAAAAGATGCTCGTTGGACTTCCTGTCCAGGATGGCGCAAAAACAGTTACTTCCTGTTTTCTTCATGCATTTTGGCATCAGAGCCTTCCTCCCTGTCCACCCCACCCTGGGCCATCACTAGCTCCAGTGCACAGAGGAGGGGGCTGCCTCCTCCCGGGCCAGCTCTTGTTCTCTGGCTGTGGCAGGGCCCTGGTCCTCCTGGCCTTCCTGGGACCCCCAGGGGTTGGGGGCAGGTTCGGCCCAGAGAGATAAGCTGGAAGCCTGACGTCCCAGGTGGCTAAGAAAATACTCCGAGCACACATTTAAATGGCCCCTAAGGGCCAGGGGGCAGGAGGACTAGGATGTCTTTGTCCCTCAAGTCCCACACACAGCTTTGCTGGTTTGGCTCAGTGGATAGAGCATTGGCCTGCGGACTGAAGGGTCCCGGTTTGATTCCAGCCAAGGGCACGTGCCCAGGTTGTAGAGGCTGTAGGCTTCATCCCCAGTAGGGAGCGTACAGGAGGCAGCTGATCAATAATTCTCTCTCATCATTGATGTTTCTCACTCTCTCTCCCGTCCTCTCTGAAATCAATAAAAATATACTTTAAGCCAAAACCGGTTTGGCTCAGTGGATAGAGCATCGGCCTGTGGACTGAAGGGTCCCAGGTTCGATTCCGATCAAGGGCATGTACCTTGGTTGTGGACATGACCCCGGTGGGGGGGGGGGGTGCAGGAGGCGGCTGGTCGATGTTTCTCTCATTGATGTTTCTGGCTCTCTGTAAAAAATCAATAAAATATATTAAAAAAATAAAATGTGAGTCATCTTTAAATATATATACTTTTAAAAAAAAGAAGAAAAGAGAGATAGACATTAAACAAAAAGTCCCCCCCCTCAAACCATCACCCACTTGTGATGCAGCATCTCCGTTCTCTGCCACCAGGGGGAGCTCCAATACACCTGGAAAGAGACCTCGGTGGGCCCCATCACTACCCTCTGGGCTCCCTGTCACCACCAGCCTTGAGGCCACCTTGAGTGTGTGTGTGTAGGGGTGGGATCCCCATTCCTCCCCACCAGGCAGGCCCTCCTGCTCTTGTGCCCAGATGGTCTCCCCATTCTGCACCTCTTCCATCCCACCTTTCTATTCAACAAACAGCTGGGGGTAATACTGATTTTGCTTCTCTTCCTGACCATTGGGGGTGTGGGGAGGGAGGAAAGAGACTGTCTTGTGTGCTGGGCACTTAAGTCCTTTATTTCTCATTTGCTTCTCACGAGAAAGGAGATTATTATCTCCATGTTACAGATGAGGTAACTCATGGTCAGAGAAGTGAAGCCACTTTCTTAGGTTTCCTGGGAGATTTTAAATGCTTGCTAGGTGGGAAGCAAATTTCTCAGCCATCTTAAAACCTGCTACCCCATCCCTGAGAGGGAAGGAGGCCAAGGACAGTGTAGGGATGGAATTTCTTCCAGCCATTGTGGGTTAGCTGTTCTCTCCAGGGCCCAGGCCCTGCTCTCAGTGCTTAATAAACCCCGTGTGCTGTCCACACCGTAGAGAAGGGCAGCTCCAGCCTCCCAGGAGCTCCAGCCAAAACCCTGGAGTCATCTTTGACTCCTCCCTTTCCTCACGCCTGCATAAAATCCATCAGCAAGTCCTGTCAGCTCAGCCTTGGAAATACATCCTGTATGCAACCTCACAGCGAGCTCCCTGGCCTGAGCCACCATCGCTTCTCCTCTGGGTTATTGTACAGCTTCTCCCTTGTCTCCCCAGGTCCCACTTCTCCATCCCCCAAGTCTAATCTTCTCAGAGCAGCCAGGTAAATCCCGTTACCACATAGCTTGGGTCCTGTCCCTCTTTGGCCCAGGACCCACCCATGGCTTCCACCTCACTCAGGGTAAAAGCCAACATTTTCCAGACGTCTAGCTTCCAGAACTGTGAGAGAATAATTTTTGTTGTTTTAAGCCACATCGTATGTTTTTTTTTAATTTTTTTTATTTATTAAATTATTATCTGTGCACATCGTATGTTTTTTTTTTAAATATATATTTTATTGTTTTTTTTACAGAGAGGAAGGGAGAGAGTTAGAAAGCTAGAAACGTCGATGAGAGAGAAACATTGACCAGCTGCCTCCTGCACACCCCCTACCGGGGATGCGCCCGCAACCAGTGTACATGCCCTTGACCAGAATCGAACCTGGGACCTTTCAGTCCGCAGACCGACGCTCTACCACTGAGCCAAACCGGTTTCGGCCACATCGTATGTTTTAAGCCACAGAGGAGCTTTGTACAGCATCCCCTTCTTAGGAAGCAGGCTGCAAGCTGGTGTAGCCTGAGGCAGGGTGGCACCATCAAAATGGGAAACACACATGCCCTTTGACCCCTCTCTCTCATGTGGGCCTAAATATAGGTTCCATTCCACATGTTGGACACGGTAGCTTTGTTTCTAGCAGAAAACATTTGGAAACAACCTAGATGTTCGCTGATAGAGGGCTAAGTAATGCATCCTGGTGCAGTCACGCTCTGGACCACTCTGTACAAGGATGAGAAAGCTCCCTGCGGACTGAGCTACATGCTCTGGAAGTGACAGTGCTAGGTGAGAGGGTGCGAGGTGCAGCCTCTTTTAGAAAGCTTCTAAACCATTTGTGTACAAAGAAGATTCGTGGACCTTGCTTGTACACGTGTGAAATCTCTATTGCCTTTGGTTGTCTCTGGAGAGGGGACAAGAGTGGGGGAGGGAGACTTGAGCCCATTTAAAATTTTGAACTATGGGAGTATATTTCATTCTAAAATATATTTCTTTAAATTAAAAAAGAATGTATTTGATTGAATGCATTTAATAGATGGGGAGGAGGGATTTATCTTTCTTATAGAAGAATTTCAAATAATAGACACAGAAGGATTGAGAGAAATTTTTAAAAATTGCATGCCACAGTAGTCATTGTTGCATGAAAGATAAGGAAAGGCAAGGAGACGTGGCTGAAGGGCATCTAGAAACTGTCAGTACTGTCTTAGTCACTCTTCTATAAACCTAAATTTATTCCTCCCCAAAAAGTTAAAAATAATACAGTTGTTCTGGCCAAGACGGAGTAATAGGAACCAGGTTTATTCTCCCACTTGAGAGAATCAAAGACTGGGCCAGGAACTGAATGAATGAGAAGACATTTTCCTCAATTCTACAGTTGTCTCAGTCAACTTGCTCGAGTTTCCAGGCCGTGGAACAGATTTCAATACTTCCCTAATAAACGATGAAACAAGTAGACAGGAAGTCAGTAAGGTTAGGGAAGATTTGAACAACACCGTCACCCAACTTGACCTAATGGACATCATTAAGGTGCTCCACCCACCAAGGGCAGAATACACAAGATCTTGGGCCTTGGTGGCCCCTGAAGACCCAGGGGCACATGGGGGGCCTAAATTGACACAGAACTCATAGCTGCCTCTGGGCACATTCTGGTCCTTCAAAACGATGGCAGCTCAGCAGGTTGACAGCTTCCTGGACCTCAGAGGGAAGCTCTTTTCCCTCCATCCTGCATTCCCTCCCTTTTCTGAGGGGTGAGGGAGGCACCTTCTGCTCCATTTTTATGCCAGAACCTGAGCACCCAACCCCACACTCCCCGGAGGCTGCCCCTCGCTCCTGCTAAGTCTTGCATTTCCTCCCTCCTCCCTGCTGACCAGCCTCAGAAGAGCTCCTCCACCTCACCCCCAACTGGACCAAAGAAGGAATGATCTGGAGCATTGCCTGGCCTCTGGGGATGCTGTGCCTGGGCAGGGAGCTGAGATGCCCCACGGTGAGAAAGAGAAGCACGGGGATATTCACAGGGGGCAGGTGTAAGTGAGATGTGAAGAGAGAGAGAGAGAGAGAGAGAGAGAGAGAGAGAGAGAGAGAGAGAGAGAGAGAGAGAGAGAGAGAGGAGTCTAAGAGGAAGATGCAACCTTCATGCCCTAATCTCTTCATCTCAAATCTTAGGCCGAGATCAGAGATCAAGCTGAGAGTGAAGCAGTCTGCCAGGGTCGAGCCACTGTGTGAACCTGAGCAATTTTTTAACCTCTCTGAGCCTCAGTTTCTTTTTCTCTAAAATAGGGCCAAAAAGATGCCAGTGTCTTGAGATTGTTGAAGATCTAAGAGCTTAGCACAGTGCCTGGCACACAGAAGAGCACCATAAATGCCAGCTTTGTTATGAAGGAGCCTGAGGGTCAGAACTAGCAGGCAATGCACAGGTTGTAACTGGGGATGACTTAGACATGGCCCTGGCCTGCAGGGACTCCCAGTCTGGTGGAAAGGACAGTCCAGTAGAGAGGCAGCAGAGATCTAATAGAGAGAGCGGTAATAGAAAGCAACTTATAGATCACAGAGGACAGACGCAGAGGTATAGCACTTGTCTGTGCTGGGCTAGGTAGTCAGTACTTCACACAACTAATTCTGTTAGTCATCAGACCACCAGGTGGTTATCGTTATCTCCAAGGCACAGAGTGGGAGAGTGGGCACAGGATGTTTAAGCATCTTGTCAAAGGTTACACAGGTGAGATTTGAGTCCAAACAATCCAGGTTCAGAAAGCCCCAACCCCCTGGCATCCATCCACAGAGAGGTGACACCATCCCCACAGATTCTACCAACGATAAGGGATGGGGTCGTACTCATTACCCCTCACACAGTGTCACACGGACACAGGCAAGCATATGCGTGTCTACCCAGATCAACACCAAATCCTGCCCACGACAAGAGCACAGAAAAGCCTCTGGAAAACCACCCCACTAGAGTGCATTGTCGGAAAAAAAATAATCAGCCCAGCCGAAACCGGTTTGGCTCGGTAGAGTGTCGGTCTGCGGACTGAAAGGTCTCAGGTTCGATTCCGGTCAAGGACATGTACGTTGGTTGCGGGCACATCCCCGGTAGGGGGTGTGCAAGAGGCAGCTGATCGATGTTTCTCTCTCATCGACGTTTCTAGCTCTCTATCTCTCTCCCTTCCTCTCTGTAAAAAATCAATAAAATATATATTTTTAAAAATCATCAGCCCAAGTGATCTCACAGACACATGCATCCATATGCAAATTGGTGGGCCTTCTACAAGCCCTTGGATAAGCATGTCACATGCATAGGTGTGCACCAACAGGCGTGTGCATTATGATGATTATGTCTGTAGACATACCGATAACTGTGTACTTGTACTTACTCTGCTATTGATTTTTTTCAGCAGCTACGTCTACTGAGTATCTATTAATACTACGTACAAATAAGCAACGATGAGGCTCAGAGAAGTGAAGGGGCTTGCCAAAGGTCGCACAGCGGGTAGATAGGTGGGCTTCAAACCCTGGCCCTGCGGTGTTTGGAGTGCAGCCTGTCTCCGAGGCTGTGCAGTTGTGTTCATGAATGAACAGATGTGGCCTCGGGTGGATTCCCACATTGCCGTCGACATTCCCTGTAACCTTGGACACATCACATCCTCTTCCAGGCCACACCCTCAGTGTGCTCCGCGGGTGTGTGGTGATGAAACCAGTGACTCTGGCCTCCCTCCAAGTCAGCCTGGGTCGGTGTCAACGAGGGCTGTGAACTTCCTGTCCCGGCCCCGCCAAATCCTGGAGCACATGACTCAAAGCCAAGCCCTGGGCGCCAGGCCACCGGGAGCCCAGTGATGGAAGAACTCACAGGATTGCATGTGGTCAGAGCAGGAAGGAGGAGGGAGGGAAACAGGATGTCCACGGGGGTGTGCACTTGGCAGGATCCAGGAACCGGGTTTGGCATGGCAAGAGCTGCCAAGGCTTGGCATCTAATGGGGCGCTCAGCACAGGCCTGCTGGGGAGAGCGGAGAGGGAGGCAGCAGGATGGACATCGCCTGGTGCTGATGCTGGAGGCCCTCGGTGAGCGAGAGAATGAATGGAGGAAGGGTGATAATGATAGATAGAGGGGCCTGGAGTTATCTTCTCTATAAATCCTGAGTGCCTGGTCTCAGCCACCCGTCTGGGCTCCGCGGAAGCTCGGCGAGCAGGGTGGACGTGGCCCTGCCTTTGCAAAACTGAGAGTGCAAGTGATGCCAGCCAGACCGGGTGCAACGTGACTCAGCCAGTGTGAGCAATCACCAGCATGTCCGGGGGAACAAGAGGGTGCAAGAGGTGTGTGTGTGCGCGAGCGCACATAGGTGCCCAAACAGCCTGATGGCTGCCCATGTGTCTCTACCC